GTGTAAGACATATACTAAAAGCTTATCTCTGGGATCAGAAGAATCAGAGTTGAGCAGAGACAGTCGAAATTGTAATTCACTTATGACAAAGATTTATCCAATCCTAAGGGATGTTCTGGAGCAAATAAGTCAGATAAGTTTCTTACTGCATAGAAGATGCCAAGTTTGTTTATTCTTACTGTACTCAGTCTTTGCTGGGGCAGCACAGGAAGTATTTCAAAAACTGCACAAATACAGCTCAAACATTGAGGTACATTTACAAGGTGCTAAAAGCTGAACAGTTCATTGAAGCACTCTTTACAATAGCCAGAATCTGGAAAAAACTTGAGTGCCCAAGAACAGATGACTGGTTAAAGAAACTTTGGGGCCTCACGGGATGGGGGTGGAGCCAGCCCTTTCCTCCCCATCCCCAGGAGACCCTGAGTCGCTGCCCATGAACAGCCTCTCTGGCTCCTGATCAAGCTTCTTAACGGCCATGATCCCAGAGACTCAGAAACAAATCTCAGAACCCAGTGGCTTTTGGCAGAAATGCATCGAGACCCACAGTAGGTTACTGTCACCGGGCGACCCCAGGGGGGAAAGGGTGTTGTCCCTCTGCCTGCTCCCCCTAGGCGGCTTGGTGGCTGCCATCCTTCAGAGGCCATCAGGCAGTCAGGTTTGGGCCCTCAAAGATGAGACATACAGCACCTCACAGGATAGAGGAGGAGCCGGCACTTTCCTCCCTGTCCCAATGAGATCCCGAGTCACCGCCCAAGAAAGGCCTCAAACTGCTTAACGGCCATGATTTCAGAGACTCAGGAACAAATCTCGGAACCCAGCAGGTTTTGGCAGAAATCCCTCCAGATTTAATCATTAAAATTTCGGAATTTCAAAATCGCGCAGCCACTACTGCAGCCACACGACATCATATGTTATTCATAACCAGGAATAGAAAACAAATTGTCAACTGTTGGCTTTTTAGCTGATCTGAGTGTTGGGGTAAAATCTCAAATAATAATAGTAGGTCTGGTGTCAAAATATTGAATGTAATCAAAGTAGAGAGGAGTAAAGTGGAAACCATCTGCCCCACAGGTAGGAGGAGGGTGTGGGATGGGGGTATACTGGGGTTTTTGGCGATGAAGAATGGGAACTGGTGAAGGTACAGGTGTTTTATTGTATGCCTGAGACAAACCCGTAAGCTTTGTAACTGCTCTCATGGTGATTCAATAAACAAAATTATAAAAAAATGAAAAAAAGAAACTTTGGTACATTTACACAATGGAGTACTATGTAGTTATTAGAAAAGATGTAGTAATGAAATTTATATACAAGTGGTACTACATGGAAAGTATCATGTTAAGCAAAATGAGTCAGAAAGAGCGGGATAGACACAGAAAGATTGCATTCATGTGGGGAACAAAAAGCAACAAAATGGGAGACTAACACCCAGGAGTGGCCAAGATTAGTACCAGAAATTTTGCTCCATGACTTGGAGGCCAACCATACGTGGTAGGGAAAAAGGAAGCTCAAATAGAGAAGGGAGCACCAAATAAAGGGTGTTGGAAGGATCCTCCTAGGATGGGAGAAACATGTTGAAAATAGACTACAGACCAAACATGATTGCCACTTTATGCCTCTCTTGCAAACCACAGGACCCAAAAGGAGAGAGAGAGAACAAAAGGGAATGCCCTGCCACAGAGGCAGGGTGTGATGGGGGGAGGATGGGGGATGGGAGGGATGCTGGGACCCGTGGTGGTGGAGGATGGGTGCTGGTGGAGGGATGGGTACTTGATCATTGTATAACTGAAACCCAAGCACAAAAATTTGTATATAACTATAACCGTACCTCCTGGTGTCTCACTAATTTAAAAAAAACCCATTCATAAAAGCTGAACAGTGTTTCTAACTGCCCTCCTTAAAATTGCACGGAAAAATATTTCCTGAAAGTACCATTTTAGTAATTTGCATATACATGTAAGTGGTGGAATTAAATTGGAGTTAAAAATTCTTAGAAATGGTGGATGAGGACAGAAAACTTCCAGATTTTCTCAAGAAATATCACTGGTGCTTCTAGATAGCAGAAAAGAAGTTATTTCTCAAAGGCATTAAAGTTATACATATCTAAAATTTTGCTTTGAGAAAACATTATTACACTAAAAATTAATATGGGCTGCATCAATTCTAGATTAGTCTAACTTTATCAAGAAGATAGGACTGCCTGGTCACTGATTATTTTCAAACAATCTTCAAATTATGAGAAGAAATTTCCTTATGAGTCTGGTCACTGATTATTTTCAAACAATCTTCAAACTATGAGAAGAAATTTCCTTATGAGTCACAGAAATCTATTTTAATGCATTCTAAGCAAATTTGTACATGAATCATTAGATGGACAACAGATGGAGTCATAATTTTGTAAGCGATAATGTTGTTTATTAATTTAGCAATTTATAGAATGTGCAAGATGTGCAAAAGCATATCTAAGTTCAGCATCAAAGATCTTAAAAGATAAACTATCACACACAATACCAAAGATTTATATATAAGAAAATTTTGTAATTGTAGTTAATAGGCAAAAAGGCTGTGATTAGTAAAAATCAAAATATTAATGTGAATATCACAGAATAATTTTAATGTCTCTAACATATACAATTGTTTTTGAACATTTTTGAAAGTAAATACACTTAAAGGGTACAAATGTCTGGACTTGAGTGACAACACAGTTAGTAAGCACTTGCCTTGCACACAGTACATGTGGCTTTGATCCTGGCACTTCTTATGATCTCCTGAGCCTCACAGGAGTGATCCCTGAGAACAAAACCAGAAGAAAGCCTTAAGCACTGCTGATTGTGGCTCCAAACAAAAAGAAACAAACAAAAAATACAAATGTATTGAATTTAAACATTTACTAAAAATAATGATGATAGCTAAAGTGAACTAAAAATTGTAAAATATTTGGGTTACGCATCTCTATTGAGCTAAAAAGAATATTAACATTGACACACATAGGCTTGACAAAATGTTGACTTTCTGTACTTGCTCTCCAATATTATATCAAAATATAACGTTGCCAGTCTTCTATAAGGATCATTAGTCTGAATAGGAAGAAAATGAGGGTGAAAATGAAATTTTTAGTTGGCAATGGTAATATGCTCTTTCAGTAGGATGTGCAATGTATTTGAGGAAGATTGTAATTATTTTCTGGTCAGGTTTTTCATATTCATCTTCATTTAACAATTCTATATTATATTCAGACATTGTGAGAAAACATTTTATGATTAGTGCATGATGTAGGTATTTACTTTGATAAGACTCATGAGAAGAATAAATAAAGGGCAATTTTATCAATGTAAATGTTTTCATCTTCGCCTTATTGGCTTACAAATTTGGGAATTTTTTAATGACAGGATCACAATGGCTTAAAATTTACAAAAGCATTTCTCATAACAAAATCCCATTTCCTGATAATTCTTGGAATTTTTACCAGAAAAATTCATGTTGAATAGAAAATCTCCATAGTCAGCAATTGGCCTCTAGCACTCTTTGCCCTTAGGTCACCTCCTGCTGGCTCAATTGTAGGTTTCCTAGGATTTTTGCTGCTTACACTACAAATATCTTTCTCTGCATGGATACAGTAGCATCCTAACACTTACTACTACTTTTATGATGACTAAATTTTGATGTGTTGAAAAACTTCAATGAACAACAGGAAAATACAAGAAAACAAAATAGCAGCAATCTGAAATACAGAACAAATTTTTCTCTTACAAAGAAGATAACATGTGATAGAGTTGAAATGTATTTTGAATGCTAATCCTCATCACCTCCCCAGGTACCCTATGGCATTTATGTTGTTATTGTTTAAATATCTTTATATTTCCTTAAAAGTTCGCAAAGAATATTAAGGCCTAATTATAAAAATACATCGTTATCTCAAAGAATTTTCTTTACCTAACTTAATACCTTGAACATGTTTTACCCTATGAATACAAGTTTTCTGCTTAAAATCTCTCATTTTTATTGCCACATTATTATTTTTATGTATACATTCTGTGTAACTCTTCATATTCAATCTCTTTCAGAAAGATGTTCACAAGTTGACTAACATTACTAACTCTGTCTCCTCATTTTGGGTGGTGTGAATTATTTATTAATTCTTTTCCAATGCTTAACTAGTTTTCTTTAGGCACTGCGGTTTACACCACTCATTCCAACATCATATCCATCACCAGACTGCTCACTTCTGCCCATCATTGTCCCAGTATTCCCTCAACAACCACTGTGGTAACTTTTCTACTGAAGACTAGTTCTTAGTTTCTATTGGCTTTTGGCATAATTATCCCCCACTGTGCTTATTGATTGATTGATTGATTTTAATCACTTACTATTATTATTGCTATTTTTGGTGCCAGGGATCAAATCAGACTTAATATGCAGGAATGCACTTTACCATTGAGCCACAACTCAGTTCCATAACTATTTATTGGTTTTGTGGACTTACTCTTGCCACATTTTAATTATTTTTAAATTGTTAAGCTTTTTATTCTCACCAATGGTGCACGAACTTTTCTAATACTTACTTTTGCTACTGCTTTTCTTTGTTGATACCTTTCCATGCCAATATTGCAAATCACAATGCCCAAAAGGAAAGAGAGAGATGGAGATAGAGAGACAGAGAGAGAGGAAAAGTAACTGCCATAGAAATACGGTGGCAGTGGTTGGGGGTGTTGGTAGGAAAACAGAGGTCATTGGTCCTGGGAAATATACACTGGTGGAGGCATGGGTGTTGGAATACTGTATGGCTGTATTCAATCATGAACAGCTTTGTAAGAGTCGATCTCACAGGGATTCAATAAAAAAGTAAAAATCACAAAGCAACTCCTGTGTTTATTTATATCCCACATATGAGAGAAATCATACTGTCTGTTCCTCTCCTTCTGAATAACTTCACAGGGTATAATATTCTCCATATCCATCCACATAGCAACACGCTGCATGACTTCATTTTTTCTTTATATTTTTCAGAGGATAGTTTGAACCGGTCTATTACTGCAACAAGTTATGCAGTCAAGTTTTCCACATTTGAATAAACTGCATAAATTAGCACATCCAGAGTGTAATGGATAAGCAATCACCCTAGCAAAAGCACCTTTGTGATCATGGTATCTGCCCTGCCAGGTGTCATCTTTTCTTATAGTACAACAGTTTTCTGAGTAGTATTCCAATTCATCATGTATACACACTGTAGTTTGTTTTTCCAGTCACTATTCTTCTGTCTCTTCTGTTAACAGTTGAATTTCCTTCATGCATGCAGTTGAAGAGAATGCTGTGAAGTTTCCAGTAAATACTTACTTTTTAATTGAATCACCATGAGATATAGTTACAAAGCTTTCATGTTTGAGATTCAGCAAACAACAGTCTCCAATGGAGACGTTACTGGGCCCGCTCGAGCAAATCAATGATCAACGGGAGGGCCTTTACCTTTACCTTTATAATAAAATTTAACACTTCGAGCATAGATAAAAAATGTAGAGCCTTCGCTGAAATTTGCTCAAAACAATTTTAGTACATTTCATTCCAGATTATTACAGAAACAATGCAAATGTTCAAATAATTACATTTGTAACATTGTTATGTTGATAAATATAGCTAAAATTCTTCTAATCCGACACAGCATTCAGCCGAAGAGAAGGACAACATGGAGGGCGGGATCCACAGATCCCGAAGGAAAAAAAAAATAGGTTCCAAAAAGAGCCGAGATCATCGGGAAGCCCCAGATGGGGTAGGTACCACATCCCGCCTCCTCCAGATGGAACCCCAGTGACCAGAAGCCTCTACAACCACAGCTCGAGTATGCGGGAACTAGGACTTTTCCTCAAAACCGCACGGCCTCTCACGCGGCCGCGCAACATCTCTCTATATACAAAGTGATCCATGGGAAGTAAACCACCCAACGTTTCTCTCTGAAAATCATAGTTAAGTTTGGAGCACGGCCACAGCCCCAGAAACACAAGGACTTAATGCAGAACCCAGCAGCTTGGAGCAGAAAAGTGAACGGGCTATGCGTTAATCCAGGCCATCATGACTGTCCAGAGGGGAAAGGGTGTTGCCCCATTCGCCCTCTCCTCTCTGGAAAGAAAGATGACGGCCTCATGGGAGCCTTGTGGACAGCAGGTATGAGCCGGGGGTGTGGGGGCGACTAAAACCTCATGGGAAAGGGGGCGTTCCGGTCCGTCCTTCATGCCCTACCGAGGTCACCAGTTGCCCCCCACAAGCGGCTCTCCAGCACGGCCGCAGCCCCAGAAGCACAAGGACTTAATGCAGAACCCGGCAGCTTAGAGCAGAAAAGTGAACGGACCATGAGTTAATCCAGGCCATCAAGTCTGCCGGAGGAGAAAGGGTGTTGCCCCATTCGCCCTCTCTTCTCTGGAAAGAAGGATGGCGGCTGCATGGGAGCCTTGTGGACAGCAGGTATGAACCGGGGGAGTGGGGGTGACTAAAACCTCATGGGAAGGGGGGCGTTCCGGTCCGTCCTTCACGCCCTACCGAGGTCACCAGTTGCCCCCCACGGGCGGCTCTCCAGCACGGCCGCAGCCCCAGAAGCACAAGGACTTAATGCAGAACCCAGCAGCTTGGAGCAGAAAAGTGAACGGACTATGCGTTAATCCAGGCCATCAGGTCTGTCCGGAGGGGAAAGGGTGTTGGCCCAGTCGCCTCCTCCTCTCTGGAAAGAAAGATGGCAGCCGCATGGGAGCTTTGTGAACAGCAGGTATGAGCCGGGGGAGTGGGGGCGACTAAAACCTCATGGGAAGGGGGGCGTTTCAGTCCGCCCTTCACGCCCTACCGAGGCCACCAGTTGCCCCCCACTAGCGGCTCTCCAGCACGGCCACGACTCCAGAGCACAGAAACCAATTTCTTAACTATCTGACTTTCAGTAGAAATACTTCCAGGGTCAATAAGTAAAACAGTAGAAATCCAAAACCGACATATAATTCTTGAACCCAGCTGTAGAAAGCAAATCACTTCACAATGCTTTGTCAGCATGTCTGATTTGGGGGTGGGGGAGTAAACTCTAAATAATAGTGGTGAATCTTTTATTGAAACAATGAATCTAATCAAAGCAGATAGAGTGTTAACTAGAATTCATCTGCCCCACAGGGACTGGGAGGGGTGGGGGGTGGGGTTTTATTGGGGTTCTTCATGGTAAAAAATAAGTTTTGGTAAAGGGAAATGTGCTTGATATTTGCATGACTGAGACCTAAACCTGAAAGGTTTGTAACCTTTCCCATGGTGATTCAATAAATAAATAAAAAAAATATTCTTCTCATCCAAAATCAAGTTTTTGTACAAGAAACAAAATGTTTCTTATCGCTTACATTTTACTTTTTTCCAAGTGTTGCTTTAATGTATATTTTCAACATAATAACAACTAAAGATTTTATTCACCAATTAATATTGATAGCTCAGGTCACTCTTTACCAGAGATAGCAAGTTAAAAGGAAAAAGGCAGAAGTTTCTTCTTCATTTTTGTCTATTCTTCTAGTCGCAATTACAAATTGCTTTTACTTTTTTTCTTTTTTAGTTTCTCCAGTTTTCTGTTTCAGTACAATTTATCTTGGGGTCAGAGAGATAGCACAGTGGGTAGTGTGCTTGCTTTCCATGTGCTGATGCAGGTTTGAACCCTGGTACTCTATAAGGTCCTCAAATCCGCTAGGACTAAACTCTGAGTATGGAGCCAAGACTAAGCCCCAAACATGGCTGGGTGTGGCCCCCAAAGTATAACAAAACTCCTCAGCACAAGTTTTTTTATATTGTAAGAATTTTTATATTTTTATGAGCCAGAATGATAACATAGAACATAGGGTGCTTGCCTTGCAATGCACCTGACCTGGATTCAATACCCCCACTCCATATGGTTCCCTGAGTCTGCCAAGAATTATACCTGAACTCAGAGCCAGGAATAAGCCCTAGTAGAGCCAGGTATGTCCCCAAAACCAAACAAGAAAAGAAACACGGAGGAATATTTATATTTAGAGCATGTGTCAAAGAAGAAAGCAATCTCATAGAAAAATAGAAAGAATCTTCCCTCATAGCAAGACCAACATTCAAAATCTGAGGCACAAATATTTTATTAATTCTTTAAGAACTTTTTCCTTAAACATTCCAAGTTATGATATTATAGATCTAAATTAAAAAGTAGCCAATAATTTATTATTCCTGAGTCACAAATATTAAGAAGTTGTATTTGGTATTTTATGATCACGGTCACAGTCCTCCCGTTGTTCATCGATTTGCTCGAGCGGGCCCAGTAACGTCTTCATTGTGAGACTTGCTACTGTGTTTGGCATATCGAATACATCAAGGGTGGCTTGCCAGGCTTTGCCATGCAGGCGAGATACTCTCAGTAGCTTGCCGGGCTCTCTGAGAGGGGTGGAGAAATGGAACTCGGGTTGGCCATGTTGGCTGCGTGCAAGGCAAACGCCCTACCCGCTGTGCTATCATATCACTCCAGCCTGGTATTTTATGACCATTTTAAAATTATTTTTGCTTATTAAATAAATACAAGTGGAGCATAAAAACTGAAATTAACATGATGAAAAATAAGGTATACTTTGAAAGATTTTTATGTATATTTTGAAATTGCTAATTTTGAGGACAAATGCTTTTTTATAAAATCTTTTTTTAATTGAAGTATCAGGATTTACAATACTGTTAATCATATTGTCCTAGCATACATCATTCCAACACCAGTTATTTTAATAGCTTCTATCATTGTCTTAATTTTTAGTGTTATCTATAGATGAATATCTTCTCATGTAAAAGTATCTTCTTACAGTGTTTTCACAATTCCACATGTGAATTATCGTTTACTTAATCATTCCATTACTTTGGACAGGTTTTAACATTTGCTGTTACACATATCACTGTTTGAACACACTTCATATGGACTTACTTAATCCTTATAATAACTCTGGGACTGCCTTGTTTAACAGATGAACTTGTGTAAAACAGAAATCAAGGCCACACAACTTGAAATGGTACTAACGTGATTTGATCCCAATTAGTCTTTCACTGTAGTCCAACTTTTTACCTCACTACCAAATACTTTATATCATTGTCCAAATAACTTTTTCCTTAAATCAAAAAAGTCAATTTCTTGGAACATAACTAAGAATAACATATTTTTAAAATGAATTAATCATATACAGACATTTTTCCCTTCAGCACTGCTTCAATAATAGTCCCAAATGCCATCAGTACATAATCCAAATTCCCAAGAAAGCAGTGAGAATTGTTTTTTAATATCTCCAAAATCTTAATTCTCACCTTAAAATAGTTTAAACTTCAAAACCAAACATGACATGCCATTATTTTTCTTTTCAGTTGCTTTAAAAGAGTTTATGAAAAGTTTGATTATTATTTTTATATTTATATTATATATATATTGAGAGCATCATATATGTATAAGCAACATTTGTTCAGGGTTTTGACAAAGAAGCCTGACCATCTTGTAGTGGGCAGCCATGCAATCTTTTGACATCCCATGGAATCCAGTTGGTAACGGCTGTAGTCCAGCCTTCGTCTCCAACTCGCATTATGTGTCCAGCCCATCTGATTTTTGACACCTTGGCAAACGAGACAGCATCCCTGATTCTCAATCGTTGACGGAGGTCAGAACTCCGATTCTTTCTCTCACTTGACTGAAGTGTGATACTCCAAGTATAGGTCTACCGATTCCTCTTTGGGAGACCCGAATCTCAGGTCTCTGAGGCATATGTTAATGCAGGAAGAACGGTGGAATCGAAGAAATGTGCCTGGAGCCAGAGGTTCTTCATCCTCTTAGCTATTTCCTCTATGCTCTTGAGGACATTCCAAGCCTCTCACTTCTTCCTGCGCAATCAGGAACCAGGTTATTTGTCATGTTGAGGTCTCGACCTAGATAACATAATTGTTGCATTTGGAGATGTTCATTTCATTGAGAGAAAATGGAATGTCAGAGACAAGTCCATATCTCATAAACATTGTCCGTGAGATTCAGCTGTAGGCTGACCTTTCCACACTGACGGTTGAAGTCGGCCAGCATTTGTGCCACTTGGCTAAAGTTTGTTGTTATTAGAATAATGTTATCAGCGAAGTGGAGGTGGTGTAGTTGCTGACCATATATCTTCACTCCTATTTTTCCC